CCATCTTTGCACGCACCTAAGGACTGATGGGATAAAAGCGATGTCACGTGGCTTCTCAGGGGGCAAATAAGTACTAAAATCTCCCAATACAAAAAATCGCTGTTGAGTTTGTTTATCCTACACAACAGAAAATGAAGAACTTGTGATCTTAAAAACGATAATGACAAATTATGGGTAGAAGTGATTATTTTACGTTTTGAGACGCAGTAGCAACCGTAGATGTTCTCACATCAAGCAATAATGACGTAGAACTTTTCGAAACTAGAAATGTGTATTTGGCGGAACTTAAATCGTCCTCTAGTTTTAAGAGAACATAATATCTCGGCCGCGATTTCTCCTATGCGCCGTTCAGCTATTGGCCAAAAGCTTTGCCCTGTTCCCAGGTCTTTGCGAAAGTTAACTCGGCTCAGTTTCCTTATTTTTGTAAAGTGGCGAGAAGTGGTGTTGCGTGACTTATCTCACTCTGTCTTTACATGGGAAATCTGGGTAGAAGGTTACTGCGTGACGACACTAAAACGGCTGTGAGGGAAACAATTTTTTTCTGGCATGTGTAGGAGGGGCCAGTCAGTTTTTTGCGGAGCGAAGAAAAAAACTTCGAGGACGAGTGAGTACGAAGGAAAAAAAGGGGAAGAGGTTTTTTTTTTTTTAAAAAAACTTTTTTCCTCATCATATTTTTTCCCACTTGGTTTAGTTTTTCAAAAACAGGCCCAGGGGCGGGTCTAGGGGGAGGGGGGGGGGGGGGCACCCCCCCCCCCCCGAGATGGTCTGCGGTTTTCTAATACAACTGGTTCTGCAAAAAAAAAAAACTATGTGGTTTATTGGTGTTGAAGTAGAGCAAGAGACGAGTGCACCCCCTCCTAAAAAAAAATCCTGGATCCGCCCCTGAATTCTTATATATTAAAAAAACAAAATTACAAGGAATTCTCTCAAAGCATTTTTTTGTGCAGAAGAAGGCTTTAAAGCTTGAACTGCTCTTTCATTGTTTGCTGTAAACTGCAAATGATCATTAGCAACTCCTTTCTGTGAATTTTGACATGTCTCTGTGCCCTTACCATCACGCACACGTAAGAATTAGGCCAATCGTGAGGCGCATAATGCGGCATAAGAAATGTTAACCCACAAGAAACCTACCTATCAGAAACACCCACATATGTCTTTGCGACTCTGCAGGATATTAGAACGAGCTTTTGTGCACTAGTTCGCAAATGGACTATACAAATGGTTTAGACAAGTGCATGGGCCGGCTGCAACGTAGGCTAGGCTAAACAGGTTCTTGTATTTTTGCATGGGTATTAAAGTGGAAAATTTCTCCCAGAAGGTTTTTAATCCACAGGTTCTTATTAGGTGTTTACTGTATTTAAATGTTTAATGAAGAACAAAGCATATAAAATAATAAATGAATATGTTGTAGTTAAGTTTTTATCTCAGGTAAGGTTTATTTTTCTTTTGTTTCAACTTCATTAGCATACATTACCATACCCAAAAACAAAAGAAAAACAAAAAATTACATGAGGTGGAAAATTACAACAGATACATTAAGGTGACTGCATAAAAACATAAATAAGCTAATTTTTAAATAAAAGGGTTCAGTATAAACACAGGCGGCCCAGACGTAGTATGTGTCAAATGAATATATTAATATTCACATGGACAAAATAGGATGAGTCGTCGAAACTACCATGAACTAAAATAGTCCAAAAATCAAAATATAACAAAACAAAGCTAAGATACCTTTAACTGAACGTATCCTTGTCTTTCCTGGCCGGTTAAAGTGGCATTTTGTTGAGTTTTGCAATTTTAGGTACTATCCACTAAAGAGGAATGAAAGGCTGGGTACAAAACAAACGGACCATCTCCACGCGCCTACACGCGAAGCGCCATAAATTCGAGAATAATCGACGAATCCGCTGCAAATTGCCATCGACTAATCTGCAGGTGACGTGTGCTCCTGCTTCTTGCTCGCTGGCTCCACAAAACCCATCGCAACTGCACAATAATCGCTCCCTC